TAGAAAAACAACAGGGCCATCTATTGTGTATTAGAGTACACTATAGTTGCTTTACTCAATAGTTAGGCCAGGAAATCCAACCAATCAAAAGTCCTCAGGGGCCTCTGGTGCTACTCTCCACTCCTGAATTAACAAATGAGGGAGATTAAAACTTGAGCGTCAGTACCATTAGCTCATTGACACATGTGATTCTTTTCTCCACCTTCTCTAAGCCAATGGCACCAGAAAATAACCAGGCTTTACAGAATATTAGACAACTTTTGTGTCTTTGGAACTACAGTTCTATTTCAGATACTATTTTGATTATTTTAGGCCTTGTTGCCATTATCAAAATTCTTGTGAGCCTTCAAAATAAATAGTTGCACAGTTTTGAATGTGTTTATTAAAAGTTCTTGATATAAAGTGACGAGAGGTCATGGTGTGAGGGTGGGAAACTGCCTGTTCATCTAAAGAATTATGGGACATCAGCACTGTCTTTTGTTCTCTTTGGGGAAATGGTGAACAGAACTTTGAAACTTATGGTCAAGCAAGTGGAAGGACTTGAACTACTCTGTGTTGAAGAGTGTATTCTTTGGAAAGGAGAGAATGTGCCCAGACATGTACTTGTTGAAGTATAAGAGACAGCCATTTTTGTAGGTCCTCAAAACTGAAATATCAATTTTCTATGGCTCCACTAGTGAAAGAAACCAATGATATGTCCTCCCTTCCACAACATGGGGTCATTAAAAATAACCCAGCTAAGCCCTTGGGGAATTTGCTGTAATATCTCTGGCATGAAGAGACATAAGGTTAAAAACAAACAAAATACACCAAGAAGTTATCTGTTATGGGTTGAACTGGATGACCCCTAGCTCCATTCAAATGTTTAAGTCCCAATCCCAACATTTCGGAATGTTAACTATTTTTGGCAATGGTATGATGGCAAATCTAACTAGTTAAGATGAGCCTATAATGGGAGTAGGGAGGATTCCAATTCCCATATTATTACATCCTTATAAAAAGGGAAATTTGGACACAGAGACATGTGCACACAGGGAGAATGCCACATGAAGATGGCCAAAGAACTACCAGAAGCTAGGAGACAGATAAGTCTGGAACTTACCCCTCCCTAGTGCCTTCAGAGACAGCACAGCCCTACCAGGACCTTCATCTTGGACTCATGGCCTCCAGAACTATGAGACAATGCATTTCTGCTGTTCAGGATACTCAGTTTGTGACATTTTGTTGTGGCAACCCCAGCAAGTTAAACCATAAAATATGGCCTATGAACATTGTACTAACTTAAAATGAAACCAAAGGGTGGCCCAAAGTTCAACCTCTGAGTTACTTGCAAGAAAACATTTTATCAGTTGTGAAAGGGAAGGAGAGGACCCAGGTAAGTTTTGGGGCTCTGTTTAATCAAACCAAGATCTGAAAGCACCTAGTCTCTGCCCAAGCTCTTGATGCTCCCCAAAGACAGTGGCTCCTGGGCATCAAAGGGAGAGGGAGGAAGTTAGGACTTAGTGTATGTTTAACTCTTCTGGGACCAGAAGTATTGCCTGCAGTGTTTCCAATCAAGCCTTCGTTTTATGTGTTCTTGTTGAGCTTACCTTGCTGCTTGGAAAGACCCTGAATATTTGATTTTGGATAAAGGTTTTTTGTCCTTTCTGGACTGTGAATATTAAAATAAAGTTATGATTTGATATATGAAAGGAAAAATAGACTATTTTGCTAGCAAATGGGGGTTTTTTGGATCAACAATTTGGAGATTTGGAGAAGTGAACACCAGAATTGGTTGCTGGGAGGCATGGCATCAATCTCCAACAGCTGAGACCAAGTGTGGTAATGTAAGGCTACACAACTATGCATTTTCAATGCGGATCTCTAAAAAACAATATCAAATGTAAAATCCACCAGTACTTGGCTGTCACAGATGACACTATCTTTTTTTTTTCCTCCATGTAGGGAGCTGATGGCTTTAGAAGTTGACAGAGCCTATCAAATTTTTATTAAAATCCCCAGAGCTGGAAGAGCAGTTTGTTGGATCATGAGCAGATTTTCCTTAAGGGGAAGAACATGCTCAGCATTGTTGTGTTTTGGCAAACAATTTTGCAGAATGGGAGCAGCTGTTCTGCAAATTATTTTTGAGATAGGGAAATTTTCTACATTTTATTCATTGCATTTCCAAATGAGCATGCAAAAATACACATGAACACACATATAATCTTCCTGACCTCACTCCTAAATCTCTATCCCTCTATTCCTCACTGTCCTTGTTTCCTTCCCTTGTTGATTCATATTATGAAGGGAGAGGGTTTCTAATGCCTAAACTTCCCCTTCTAGGTGACACAGGGAATTTGTAGGTGAAAAGATCAATTCCTGTACTAGGGCCAAAGGGCAAGAGAGGGTTCCAGGGACCAGAGACAAACAATGGATCTTTTAATTTAGAACAGGGAGGGAATGTGTATGAGTACTCTGCTATTCATGTTCCCTGAGGGAGCTGCTTCAGCAAAATCTGGGCTGTTTGACTGTTGGAGCTGCTGCCAGCTAAGGAACTGAGGGCCAGGGCTCAAGTGCAGACATCACATTAATCAATGCCAATTTAAAAGGGAAGATTATTTTAACCTTGGAGTGTCACTTTATATGTCTCAATACATGGTCCATTATTTAATCTCCAGAAAAGTTTTACTCAGGCCCCTCTTCTTGCTGTGATCATTTATTATAGCCAGGCCATCAGGCATGCAACAAATTACAAAATGAAACAACTTCAGTGTCCCAAAACAGATGGGGATGGGCGCTGGGGATGTCATCAAGTGAAAACATGCATCTCGCTCATTGCAGCACAGTTCACCCCTTTTTCTACGAAGCTCGGCGTGAGGAGGAGGTGGTTACAGTGCAGATACACCAGTCAGTGTGGGGAATGGGTATGGGATTGGGAAGGGGGAGGCATCTCCTCTGTCCTTGTGGGACCTCAGTTTAGAGCTCCAAGTGCTCTCAGAAGGAAGCAGAATGAAAGGTTTGTCAAGCTACCTCCTGTTAATTCCCAATGTCAAAAACTTTCTGATGCATTTTTGTAAATTGCAGAATTTGGCAGGAAAAAAAAGGGCTGTGGTCCTTCCTCTTTATTCAGTTATCTTTGAGCTCTAAAGTCACATTCAGGACACATGTGGACTAAACACTGTGAGCCTCAGTACTGTAATGGCGATAATGATAGCTAGAGTTCTTTTAAGTGATACAATAGCCAAGTTCCAAGTACTGGCTTGTAACTAACAAGATTCCCCACTTAGCTGCTTCAGTCAGCTCACATTTTTTGTAATACTACCTTAAAGTTTAAAAATTTACATTCTCAACTTTAGACTCTAAAATATAAAGGCTCCATATATTTTCATTTAAGGAAAAACTGACTCATTGGTAAGATAAAGTATATACTAAAGTAGTATTGGGAGACCTGTAAAGATATGAGCTTTAAAAGTTTTGCAAGTGTTAGCAAATATTTAAGTAGCTGAGTAGCAATTGGTAAAATTTTACATCAAGGGTGAAAGTAATACAGTATATGTTTTAAGTTTTTCTAGCTGACATTGTTACATGAGAGCCAACTTATTCTCATTATTTTGAAGCATGTATAAGCCCTATTTTATAACTGTAGGAGTCATTACATTGATTAAATTTAGATGAAATATCTTTTAGCTTACTTTTTTCACTTGTGCCAAGCCCTAATGTTTTGAAAAGGCTAGTATAGACTTATTTTAAAATGTTTAATAAAGGATCATAAAATATATCCTAAGCACTCTTTCTAATAAATCTAAATAAATGAGAAAATATAAGACAGGATAACCATCTAAAATTTACAAAACACAACAAATTGTGTACACATTTAATTTTAAATTTGTCAACCACAAATTGTCTAGGTCCTTATACTAACCTAATTTGATGAATGAAGAAGTAGGATTTAATTAGTTCATTACTTAACTTTTTTTTTTTTTGAGCACTAGCTATTTTCAAGGCCTGATCTGGAACACAGTGTCTTTGGGATTTGTAAATAGAGAGGTGCAACAGTACTTAGAGGAATTTATAGGAGGAAAAAGCCAGAAAACAGGGAGAGAAGACACAAGAGTGACTGTCCCCACCTTTTTCTTTTTCTTTTTTCTTTTGGGATGGGGGATTGAACTCAGGGGTGCTTGACCACTGAGCCACATCCCTGGCCCTATTTTGTATTTTATTTAGAGACAGGGTCTCATTGAGTTACTTAGTACTTCTTCTTTGCTGAGGCTGGCTTTGAACTCAATTCTCCTGCCTTGGCCTCCTCAGGTGCTGGGATTATAGGCATGCTCCATCACACCCAGCTCCCCTCATTTTTCTTTGAGAAATAATATCAGTGATGAGCCATTGTGAATAAAAAGGGCCCTACTCAGTGGACATAATGCATCACACAAAGTGATCAGATCACAAATACTCATTATTGAGTGACGAATCCATTGAGGATTTCATTCAGACTTCTGTCTCAGACATGGTTATTAACCCTTGTTCTCTCCCTGTTGCTTCCTTGCAGAATCAGGAGTACAGTGGGCTTTGCCTTTTGTACTCAGAGACCTCCACATGGTCATTCCATTTATCCCAGTTGTGATGGAAAGAACTTGGGGAAGTTTAAAGCTGTTCCTACTCACAGGAGGAGGCTCCTGCTGCTGACCTATGGTGTGTGAACATTTGCTTGAGATTTGTGCAGCACCTACCAGTTTTGATAAGAAATCCAACACCTGCTGTGATACCCAGAGCTTCTAGGCAGCAAATAATTGCTTTCTGCCTTTAGAGAAACTAGACAAAGGACATTATCAATGTCTGAACAACTGAACTTTGAATTAATCTCTAATTTATAGAAGTAAAACTTGGAGCTTATGATAATATATGGATATATATATATATATCTAATTTTTGCAAAAATTTTTTGCATGGAAAGATGTTTAAATACATATAACACCATAAACTCTCAGTGTATACAAATTGTGGGAAAAGAGAAGTCATACCTTGTTAAAATATCCACCAAGAGTCTGTTGTATTCCTTGTAATCCAGGAGGTCCCTGTATTAGAAACAAATCAAAGATAAATAAGTAAGCATTTACCAAGACAATGTGCATTTAAGTAACATACTTCTAAGAATCTTTGAAATTATGTAGTTAAGAAAAAGGAAGACTCTGTTTAGTCCAATATTCTATCAACAAGAAAATTATAGAGACACTAACTGGTCGTCAGGTTCCTAAAGATTTTTCTAAGTCTTATATGAATCCAAAGAGAGGACCTAAGTGGGAACATGTAACATTTTACCAGAAGGTCAACTTTCAGCATGTTCTTTATTAAAAGGAATTATACCTATAAGAATCTTCCAGGGAAGAAGCTGTAGCTTCAGTTTATATTTTATTCTTCTCCCAGGGCTTTGATCACTGTATTATAGAAATGTGGGCCTCCACATGTTATTAACTTAGAAAATATGGGAGAAATATTTTTCTATTGATTTACTCTTTTGAGTCAGTTGTATGAAAATGAGCTGCACATGGACTTCTGGGCCAGAAAAAGATGTCTTCTATAAAATCTCAGACTTCACACATTTAAACACTGGTAGTTTTTAGTTACCCTGGAAATATTTCCTAAGCATTGTACTGAGAGCCTGGGATGGAGAAGAAAGAAGTGAAGACATCTGTCCATCCCTAAATCTTTTAGGAAGGGAGGGAGAGAAGAGTTTTCCAGAGATTGCATTTTGGGGTGAGGACCATAAGAAAATATAAAGCTTAGCATTATTTTAGATCAAGTAGTCTAAGCCAGATAGATTCAGCTGTCTCCAAAGAGAGGTTGCATATTTCATCTAGACTTCAAATATTAAGAAGAGAGAAAATATTATAGAGGCAAAGTACTTTGGGAGATAAGACACAGAAAGAGGAGGATTGAACAAATCCAACAATAGCATTATACAAGGATTATTTTTTTTAAAAGGGAATGAAAGCTTTGAAAGTGAAGAAAAAAATTTAAGGAACAATTGCTAGCTATATTCCTTGATGCAGTAAATGCCTTAGGTATATAGAAAAAAATTAATGCTGGCAAACACTTATACTAGGTGCTTCTTATGAATGGCTTGTGACTGAAAATATGAAACCTTTGTATTGTGCCACTAAACATAAAGGACATAAGGATGTGGTGATGGATGTTCAAAAGCAGGTTGGAATAACTCTTGAGAAAATAATGGGCCTCAAGAGTAATGGAACTGAATATGATTGGAAAGACAAACGATGCTGTTACCTTGCAGAAATAAAAACAGAGCTAATGTCAGAAAACAGTTCTCATGACATTATATTTTTCATGTTATTTTTCCATCAGTCAGCTTTGTGTAAAGTATTCTAGGTCAGTTAGATGAAATAATGAGGAAAGCAATAATTGAGTAGGGGGTTGATGCATAGTTTATAGCCAAGAAAAGGCAAGTTAATAATTCATTTTCAAAATTCAGAAGACATGCAGTTCCATACATATTGATCCTTCTGCAAATATTTGATGAGGCAAGGAAGAATTTTAGACACCATAGGTAAGAGAATTGACAGGTAGTTTAGGAGTCTATGTACAGCAGGCATTCAGTGACTGTGTGTTGATGATAAGGCCCATCAGACCAAAGAACAGTGATGGGGTGGGTAAAGTTAGCTTCACATACATTCTTTCTAGTAAAAAGTGAAAGTCTTAATAGTTAGGGCTCTCAAATATAGAAGAACAATTAATAATAAAGTCTCTTGAATAGAACAAAAGAATCAATCTAATAATAATAGCTAACATTTATATAGTGCTAATTGTATGCACAGTTTTATATGGATAAACTCACAAAATCCCTACAATGACACCATGAGGAATGCACCATCATCATTATTTATGATTCACAGATAAAGAAAACAAGAGCTGGAAATTATAAGCTGACTCAAGGTCTGACCACCAGTTAAGTGGCAGGGTTAATAGCTAACATCAGCATTGTGCTCAAGTCACCTCTCATTTACTCTGCTATCTTAACATAAAGACAGATTCTCAACCTAAAATCTTGCTTTTAGTAATTTTTAAAAATTATGAGCCCAAGAAAATATCAATGATCATTCTTTCGTGGACTACTCACCCTACTAAAATTGGAAAAAAAAAATCAACAGAACTTGTACTTAGTACTTATGAGCCAGTACTGTGTTTAGGACAGGAGGGGAGGAAATAAGCTCTTTGCCTTTAGATATAGCCCTACTGTGTAGCTGAGAGAAGGAGATAAGACACTGTATTCCTTGCATTTATCTTCATGCATTCTCTCAAATCAGGAGATTATGCCTGAACATTCCAGAACATAACTGTACTCAAAACGAATCCTGTCTTTGTGGGGAGAGCAGTAGTCAAGGGATATCAAAAGCAGAGAGCTTTCAAAGGGGATCTGGAATACGGTAAGGAAAAAACAGCAGCAGAACAAACAGCATGGAAGGGGTTTCATGCTACAGAAAATTAACGGTGAATGAGAAGAGTGTAAACAATAAGATGGTGACAATTTTTAAAGAATTGCGTGAGACTTGGGTATGACTCTTAACAGACTTGTTATCCGCCCACAAAAACAGCCACGGATAGCTGTTTTTCATAAACACAGACTATGTTCCTCATCTAGAATTTTGATCTTGCTGTTGAGTTTACCCTTGGGGTGGGGTGAGAAAATATAGGTGGCTCAGTGAAGCTGCTCCCTCTAAAAACAATGGCAAGAGCACAACCCTCTCAAAAGAGCCAAGAGCCAATAGAAAAGTTTGAACAATGTTATTCAGATACCCAAAAGATTAATAAACCCACAAAAGTGACTTCCATATTTTCATTTGTTCCTTTCTTGCCATAAAATGTCATATCCACAAAGTTGTTGCTCCGAATGGGTTTGATCTGAAGCTTTAGGCTCTACTACTTAATCAGATGATGAGCATTTATGATGACATTTTCTTTCTTACTCTTTTAGTCACTAGAGTACTTTGAGTACCATAAATTCCAAGATTAATGTAATAGAGATTTACAGCTAACAGTCTATGTGCAGGCAGTACTTTATGCAAACTCTCCTAGAGGGCTGAAGAAACCCTGCAGAGACTGAAAGGAGACACTAGCATAGAGTGTTCAGGAAGTATATGTCTACACTAACTGTGGTTAAGTGTGGCAATGACTCACCTGGTTATTTTGAAACTGTCAGAAAGGAACAACCTCAGTCAAAGCAATGACCATGGATAAACACTAAGCACATATATGCCAAGAGCAGTTCTCTGTTTATGGTTAGAAAAACAGGATAGACCTTGGGGGGTCTTGGAATTGGTGGCTGTCCTATAGCTACATTACCGACAGATGTGTTCATTTTCTATCTTCTGTTCTGATTTGCAACATGGCTGTAGTAGATTCAAGGAGTCATTTGTGTCTAAGTTTAGCAAGAGCTGTCAGTCTTGTAGACTATCAATCAACTCCAAGGAAGCAGAAGTTAAAGACTTGTGCTAAGTGACAGTTCTCCTGGCTTTACAAGTGTCACTGTTATTAGTAGATGCTCTAGGGCACTTGAGAGGTAATTTTCTCTGAGGTTTGCATTTATAAAGACCTATCAAGAAGACAGTGAGATGACCCAGGCCCAATATACCGGCTACCTACAGAAGGCATGTCAGCCTTGGCTAATGCTCTCAGAAGTTCTAGGAAAACTGGTTGAAGATTTGTCTTGCTCACAACAGAACCCCACAGCAAGGCTGTGCAAAAATCATAGCTGTATAATTTCTATCTTTTGTGCAATTCTGTTCTACTCTATTTATACTGGGTTGGGAATGTTATGTTTTATATGTGATGTCCCCCAAAAGCTCACATGTGAGACTATGCAAGAAGATTTAGAGGAGAAATGATAGGTTTAGAACCTTAAGCTAATCAGTGAATTAACCCCCTGAGGGGATTAACTGAGTGATTAACTGTCAGTAGGTGGGTGTGGCTGGAGAAAGTGGTTCATGGGTATATATTTTGTATGTGGAGAGTGGAGTGTCTCTCTCTGCTTCTAATCATTATTTGAGCTGCTTCCCTCTGCCACACTCTTCTTCCATGATGTTCTGCCTCACCTTGAGCCCTGAGAAATGGAGCTGGCCTTCTATGGACTAAGACTTCTGAAACCCTGAGCTCTCAAATAAACTTTTCCTCCTCTACACTTCTTCTGGTTAGATCTTTTAGTCATAGTAGCAAAAAAGAAAAAAAAAAGCGAAAACAGGGAAATACAGGACATTTGAGTTAATATGAAGAGCACACAACTATAGAGCAGCTTTAAAATGTTAATGAACTCCAGGGAGACATACCTGTTCAGAGCCCAACTGTACCGATATGTAATTATCTGAGGGGTCTATAAACCTAGCATGGGTAGAGATCCTGAGGTTGTTTTCTACTGCAAAGAATCATATCTCATGTGATGAAATGAATTAAAAGTATATATAATTTGGGAAGTAAAAACTCTCAGCATTTAAGTACATTATAGTAACATTTAAGAAATTTTTGACTAAAATCTTGCTGGAGCTAGAAAACAGAAAACCATGGTGTCTGCCACCAGAGTTACCAAATGTATAGTGTCAAAACGATGAACTGTTTGTACCATCATCCTCTTCAAGGGTTACAGTATTGGCTGCATATTCCCAAAGTTTAAAAGATGAAAAGAGTCTTCTGTTAAAAAAATAAACTTCCTTAGTCCTGGGCTTACCTATACTCTCACTTTTCAGCCAATGCACCTCATATCACAGACCCATACTTTTGCCCTTTTACCCCTCACTATTCTTTGTCATGGGCTCTGTGTTCACATCATGGTTTGGGTCTTTTGGCTCATCTCACACTAGCTATGTGAATCAAGATCTCCAACTCCTCAGTCAACTCCTCTGCTTACTCACTGAACCTCATCCCAAAACTATTTTCCTTTCTCCCTTTCCTCTAAAAGCTCCCTTTAGTTCTTTATAACTTTGCTGACTGAGCCTCCTTGAGCCATCTGGACGCCACTTATCTCTATGCACCATAGCTCTTCAATTTCCTATTAGGAGTTTCTCCCATA